GGTGCATGTGCCGCGGGGTTGTGGGGGGGGGGGGGGGGGGTGGGGGTGGGTGGGGTTCCCCTCCTCTGTCTTATCTTCACCTCAATTATCTCAGGTTCAGCTTCCCTGCTGAGCACATTCAGCAGGGAACGTTTCCAGCTGCGTTAAGCACCATTAAAGAGGAATTAACATATAAGCATTTACAATATGAAGTCATGCATAAAACGCAGGGAGAGTCGGGGTTCAGAGTCTCCATACATGCAATTATCTATTATGAGTATGTAAATGTCCGGGACCATTATAAGACATCACGTCCCTCGTGAGCGACTGAAAACCTTAGTAGTAAACTAATGGTACACAGATGCATTATTGTATGGCAGGTTATATCAACCCTCACTGGCACTTGGTGATTTATGGAGCAGCGGTGGGATCCAGAGCTGAGCCTGTTCTGCTGCACATGTGATAATTCACAGAGTAACGACAGTGAGCATGGTTAATGGTTTGGTCGACTTGTGTGCGAAGATCTAATCTACGAGACACAAAGAAGTTAATTCACTTTCACCATGAGGAGATTTCTGACCCTGTGAAATAGCTTTCAGAGTCGGTCAAGCCTAGCTTGAATGAGACTGATATTATGCAAATATGACTTATTATATTACAATATGTGGTTTTGACATTGCTGGGGGTGTACAGCACAGAGGAGAGGGAGTTCAGCGCTACAGCACAAACACTAGAGCAACATCATTGGCTAGCAATGATCATACACCATGCCTTGTCCAACCTACGCGGCACCTGAAGTGCTCTGTGACCCCTGAGAAAAGACGTGCCTCCCCCACTACGGAATTCACTGCAATACACAATTACTGACTTCCACAACTAAAATAATGAAAACTATCGAGGAGAATTACATCAGAACAAAGTCTTTCTACCTCGTGTACTCAGCTGTCATGTAGGACATCAACTGGAGGTTACCACGAGCACAAACTCTGACCCAACTCCTCACTGCAGATTCCTCGTCAGAGTTTAAGGCCACAAACAAATGACTCTGAGACTCCTAAAATGTCGATTATGCAAATAGCTTATTTTTCATTACATTAGCAGGTATTGATTAGTGAGTAAAGTCATACAGACAGATGTGGCCGGTCCACAAAGAGTGGGCTCATGCTGAAATACTTTTTAAAAACATATACGAAAACAAGCCTTTTTTTAAGTGTACTTTGAGAAGTGAAGAACCTCCAGACTGCCATTAATCTTTGGTGCTGATGATGTGTTTAGGGTTTTGTGCTGATCCCAGACCTCTGCGGCAGAGCTCCAACCATGAGTCACTCACACCGTCAATGTGAGAAATGAAGGTGACATTAACTTCTGGAAACAGAAGCATCCAAATATCTCCTCAGGCTTCGCAACTCCACTGGCTGGGACTGGCATGAAATAAAAAAGTTTTTCTTTGTCGTAAAATCACTCTTATAGACTTGGACACCCGAGTGGCCGTGAGGACTCCCATTGATTAAAGCATTTGCCCCGGGGCAGGTGTTACATTCACAAGCTGCTAATGCCAATTTTCCTGAGAGCCGCAGAGTTCCCGACTCACGGCATCACTCTCCTGCTCTCAGTGGCTCCGTGCACCGTGGATGCTCTTAATGAATTATGAGGATTGACTATACTAACAGCACACTGCTTCCAAATCCCTGTTTAATTGAAACACGATGGGAGCGGAGCTGAGGGGTGATAAATTGGAACATCCGCCTGGTAATGAATCTGCCATCTGTTGCTACGATGACCAGTTGATCCTTAAGTAGGTGTCTTACAATGGAGAACAAGGAAGGAGAGCAGGAGGAAGGGAGGGACATTGACATTGACATTGAAGATCTCTGTTTCACTATGTGGATCAGAAAAAATGTGCTGAACTTTTAACAGGTTGCAGTTAGCCTCGGTCACTGCTAAGAAACTATGATTCTTCTGATTTCATTTAACAAAAAAGGTCAATCACAGCCCTAAAGATCCTTGGTTTCATCCTTCTTTCTTAATAGTCCATATACAATAATATGATTGACCAGTCTGACTGTTTTCAACCATACAGCGGCTGTAGCCTTGACACCAACTCACAGCATCACATTCACTTTTCAGAGTTTGTATTTTCTGTGTTTAGTTAGACGTCCCAAACTTTCCCAGCAGCACCTGGGGGTTAAGCATTCCCATCAGCACGGTGTTGACTATTTTCACCCCAAAGAATACTTCAGAGGACGATGGCACGGCGCCCCAACATCAGTGGGAGGGCTGACCATCCTCCACTGATGAGTTTATTAAGTTCAGTGATGAATGATGGGAGAGAGGGCAGATACAGAGAGCATTCAGTGTCAATGGACTCCATCGGTCCTCTGTCACACAGAAGGACAACAGCTGCAAAGACCATAACTGTGACAGAACCAGCAGTTGAACATCACAGCAGGCGGTGAGACTGCAGCGGCTCAGAGGACGAGGGGAACAGTCGCTCTTTAGTCTGACTACAGTCTCTTAATGACTAAAGCAGTGAGTAATGGATGACTGCACAAATAAACAAGGTCTTTCTTAAAGGTTGTTTTCCTGTTAGCTTCTCCTAACAACCTTGGTTTATAAAACCCAAGTGTCAGCTATGAAGTGTTGGGCTGAGACGGTCATCCTTAAAATAAAATGTGGGGTCGATCCCAGAGTTTATATGCAGATGTGTCCCTGGGCAAGACATTGAACAACAGGTTGATGCAGCGTCAGTGCAGAGTTTTTAAAGTGTCAAATGGGTAAAGATGGAGGTGCACAGCAGTCTGTGTGACTAGAAAAGATTCAAAATGTTATAATTGTTCTATTTTAATACAAATATAATCATATATTCACCACATTTTAATTTGAGATGTTTTTACTACTTATAATACATAAAAAGGAATAGCATAAGGCATAGAGGTATTTTGAATGTTTTATGCTGTTGAATGAATGTTTTTAAGATTGTAACACTAAAATGAATATGAAAATGAAACTAAAATGAATCAACAATTAATTATACAGTTTATTAAGACAGCAATCCTTCATGATTTTTTATGTGATTCGTTGCAAGAAAATTATTTGTTTGATGAGTGTTTAATTTGAAAGAATATGTTAAAGAATGTTGACAGATCAACCTGTCGTCGCAGCTCTGTGCAGTGTATTACTGTTGCTGCTTGAACGGCCGCACAAACTCCACAAATACTTCTGTCCCAATGGAGACGCTGCCACAAAGAACCAGGAAGAGTTCAGGTTCACAGTCCACGCGTCAAAGATCATCGGCGTTCCAGTCGTTCGACCCTCACACACGATAACAGAATCTGTTCTGTATTGTTTCTCCAAAAGCTGAATGTTTATGCAGTTTAGAAAACCACTGAATAGAGAGAAAAGTAATCAAGTCGCTGCATCATTTAGCAGATATATGTAAAGATGCATATTACAATTCAAATGATGTGAAAAGAAAATCATTAGCTTTAATTAGTGATGAGAAAACAAGATCTCAAACGACAGGTAATAAATATACAAATGTAGTTTAACATCAATCACAGATGGTTCACTCTGAAGGACAGCTGAGACGGTTTCTCTCTCTCTCTCTCTCTCTCACACACACACACACACACACACACACACACACACACACACACACACACAGAGTCAGTATTGACACCATTAACACGACCAGCCACTCGTTGAGAAGATGAAATGAGTCTGTTCAAGCATGAGAGCATCGAGTTCAACCTCTCGAGCTTCGACACACGATCTGCTGCTCTCACACTGGAAGAAGTGATTTAATCACACACAGTCACACTTCAGAGGCAGCCACGTTTGTGTGTCTTTCCTGTCTGCTTGACCCCCAGAACATTCTCTAACGTGTCAGCCTTTTACTCTCACATCATGGTTTAAATTTCAGTCTTCGTTGGAAACATAAACATCGTTCAGAGCGTCAACATAGTCCAGTTTTCTGCTGCTATATTTCGACCTAACGTTTCATGACTTCAAGTTTCGTTCTTTCAGGGTTACAGGTAGAGTGAGAGCCAATCACAGCTGGCGGGGGAAATTCCAGAACGTACAGCTTTTAGGGCAGCGGTGGCTTAGTGGTTAAGGAAGTGGACTTGGGTCCGGAAGGTTTCAGGTTCGAGTTCCCCCAGCTGCCAAGTTACCATTGAGGTGCTCTGAGCATGGCACCGTCCCCACCCACTGCTCCCCGGGCAGATTAAAGCTGCCCACTGTTCACTTTGGTGATGGGTTAAAAGCAGAGGTCACGTTTGGTTGTGTGCAGTGTTGAGCTGTGTCACAATGACAAGGAGTTCACTTTCCTTCCTTTTGTTATTGATACTGAGGGGAAGTATATCATTCAAATTTCTTTAACCTCTTGCCAAATTGTGATGTCGAGGGGAAGTCATTAACCTCGGCTGTGTGGGGTTTTTAAAGCGAGGTCAGTATGTGCTGCAGTTCCTCCTCTGTCCAATAGATGACCGCAGTACCACCTTCAGGATCACCTCACCTCCGTTCCCTCTAACGAGAGTCTCCATTAGCAGCCAGCTTCGTTTGTAAATGCCAAGTCGGACATCTGGGTGTTGAGGCGAGGTGATGCCATCGTCCATGTAAGGCAGTGATCTCTCCAGTCAGGCAGTAAATGTCAGACTGCTCATCTTTCTCACTCTCTCTCTCTCTCCCTCCCTTTTGCCAATCTTTCTCACTCTCTCTCTCTCTCCCTTTTGCCGTGCTCACACTTACACAAACGCATGCAGCAACTACAGAAGAACCTTGTTTTTAATAAGAGTCTCCACATTATTACATGTTTGTCACAGAGAGGCACAAGGTCAGATCAAATTAAATCTATAGATGTGTGGACGAGCTGTGAGCGTCCTGTTCCAGTGGCTCACAGGAAGAAACACCTGCAGCACTCGGGACGTTCAAGTCATTTTATGTTTTATGGATAACCAATAGAGAAAAGGACGTCTGTTGCCATGACAACAGGAGGGTCTTAGCACCTTCTAAAATAAGACTGAGATGAGACGGATCAGTGGAAGCTGCTGGGACAGCCCCGAAAATATTTAACACACCCCACAAAGTATAACACGTAATCCAGCCTGGATAATTAGTTCCTTTTTCTTATTAGAAAAAATGATAGATTAATAAAATGATAGATAGATATACTTAGACTTGAACGACTACACACCATCATAGGCTGTTGATCTAAAGAGAAGCCATTACTATATTATGATCTACTTCCACAGCTGCTGTAAATCAACACACTCTTTGCAGAGGAAACAGTTTTACCTTCATGAGCACAGACTCGCTGAGCTTTTCTCTGTTGACAATCTTGATGGCCACTTTCTGACAGGTGACGCAGTGGACGCCGAGCTTCACCAGACCTGAAACACAAGTGGGTAGAAGTCACATGATATGACACTTTTTAATTGGCCCTGTCACCGGGTTGGAGACCTTCTTGAAATCTGTAACTTTTCCTTTTTTGGAATGCAGCATCAGCAGAACACTACGGTGGTTCTCAGACCGGAGCTGAGTGGGTGGCAGCAAACAACTGTTCAGCTGCTGTTCACTGCGACTTAACAACTTGGCCTCAAATGTAAGTGGGTGGTGTTGTTCCACTACAGATGAAAAGGCTAATGGTAGGCAAATGAGATACACGTCTATGGGGAAAGCAACAATGGATCAATCACATAGTCAAAATGGAGAATACAAATGGCTGCACCTCTGCTGAGGCATACTACAAACTGCATATATTTCAGATGTATTTCCACTCATGAACACACCTGTGAAGACTTTTGCATTTTTATATTGATCAACGAGGTCAAATTTAACTCCGTGGAAATTCACAACATTCTGATTAAATCTCACACCCTGCCCTTCGTCAGCTGTTTACAACAGTGTTTAGATGTTTGCATGTGGTCAAAGTTATTGGGATGATGAATGTGTCAAAACAAACCGCTGCTTCTTTTTACTAAGACTATACATCAGTAAAGCCTGGACCTTGGCACTTTGAAGGAGATCCAGTGAATTCCAGATAGTGTTTGACATATTCACAGAGCAGGACTTTAAGAGAGCACTGAAGCGGTGAGAGAGCGTTTCCTAAATTTCCCTGAGGATCAATAAAGTATCCGTGGGCAGGAGCACAGGGAGCCGTGTATCACACACAGTCGTTGCTACTTTGAAGGTTCAGGTTATAGACGAAGCCTTGGAACTTTATAATCACACTTTGTATCAAGCTGTATTTAAAACACCGTTCTTCTCAGACTCTTAAGAGGCTTGTTGACATTGTTCATCCAAACATTTGCAGCTGCACATTATTAACTAGTTTATGAAGCAGATTTACTTCAGACCTCATAGTTCGGGACCAAGGTCAGACATTTTCAATTTGATCTTGTAATTCTAATGTACCAGAACAAATGAACTGCGACCATTTTCAAAATAAAATGCTTGGTGACCAGAAAGAGGTAGTGAATAAAAATGGGTTCCTGTGCATAAAAAAATTAATATTTATAGATTATATTATAGTCCCAGTGGCTTAAAGGAGTTTTAAACAATGTTCAATAATAACAAAATTCAATGAAACTTTTTTTTTAAGTAATAAGTGCAATGATGGATAAGAAGAAGGGCTTTTACCCCCAACCAATGCAGGGCCAAAGGGCTGTTTACTGAGAATGAATTGCAATTTTTTTTGGACAAACAAAAAATTCTCTCTATTTTGTGACAGACTTGACAGACTCTCATCTACCACATCTACACCCTTCAAAACTGATGAATGCTCACTGGACTTGAAACAGCTCACGTAACAACAGGTCTGGGGGGAAAAAAACTAAATAAAATGCATAGAAACGTGGACTGCCTGGTCATGTTCTGGAAAGTTCTTGTGTCTGACTTGGCCATTACAGGCATTAAAGGGAGAGATCATTCTGAAGTCTTTAAGATAATATAAAATAAAACAGAGAGATAAAAAAGATAAGACAGTAACCTCCTAACAGCTCACGCTGCTCCTCTGGCTCAGTGCTGATGGGCAGAACATGACGTTGCAACAAAAAGACCTGGCACTGAGCCAAACACTTTCCCAACTGAACCTGCAATATATTACAAATGGTGAGCTCTCTCTTGGCTCACTGTAAAGCAGGCTAACGACACAAAACACACAGCTTGTGAGTTCTCGGACACTGAACATTACATGATTGTCTGCAAAATGAAAGTGAAGAAAGTGAATTACTTGTGTAACCCGTCACCGTAGTAAAAGGGGAGGGGGCGGAGTTTAAATGCACAGGGAGCACAGTGCCACGCTCAGTAGACCTCAGTAGTAACTTGGCCGCTGGTGGACTCCAACCTGCGACCTTCCAGAGCAGAAGTCCGCTTCCTAAACCACCGAGCCACCAAAGCCGCCCAGACTTGTGCTCAAAGGTCATGCTAAAAACCAGCCGATTCCGTTCCCTGGCCATTCCATCGTTCTACAATAATTTAGCAGTTGGTAAACCAAGCATCACTGAGTCACAACTCACTGTTGTTGAAGAGAATATAAAACAAAAACCAACATCTATTTTCCAGCAACTCCAGCAATTCTCCTGAGAGAAATGTCAACATGCAACATCTTTATCTTCTGTAGTCACAGTGTCTTCATCCATCCATATCAAAGTCCCGACACGAGGGAGTAGCATTTACTTTGTAGTGAAGGTCTGCAGGCAGAGACGGAAAATGCCACCGCACATATGCAGATCTTCATTACCTCACGCCGCACCTGTACCTACTGCTATTTGAAGGTGATTTCCCAGTGGCAATTTCCATCAAAGAGGAAACAGGCAGAGACAATATGCTATGCGGGTGTTTAGGCCAATATGGCAGCCTGGAGACCTTTTTGTGTCTTCATTTAAATGTAAACTGGCTGTGAGTGACATTCACCAAGTTTTACTGTTGTTTTTGAAGAAGGCACGGGTAAGAACTGGTCAATAAAACTGTTCAAAGGACCGTACAGGCCGCTCTGGATGAGACGAGTGACACCACCTGTGCGCTAACCATAAGACGTCGAACAGTTGTTTCTGAATGCTCTTGTTATTTCCTCCTTTTGGCTTGTCAAAGCTATTCTTGTCTCGCAAAAGCCCAAGTGTCTTTTTTGTGAAACAATATTTCAGATTGCTAATGTTCATGTTCATAATGATAGGTTGTCAAACAGTGGAATCATTAAACAAGCAGACTAATGATTGCAGCGGATTGGACCATTGGGACCCGGTTCTATACTAGAACTGTTTTCATGAAATCCCATCTCTAAACATTTGACTGAATGGGTGAGTGAAATGTGTCGATAAAGGTAAAAAAAATGATATAATAATGATATAATATGTTATGAGGTTTTGAAAAACAATCAGGATACAGGAAAAACAACCTGATTTCTCCCTGAGGAACACACACACTCCAGTTCAAATTAACTGCATGGGACAAACATGACCTTTGATGACCTTTACGTAACCATCCAGCATGACATCTTTTCCTTTCTACGAAAAAACAGACATGAGATATATATAAACAGTAGAAAATGTTCAAACAGATACTTTGTTTGTCCACCCAGGAAAGCTATTTTGCAGTTAGATTTTTCACAAAAGAAATTGTGCAATAAATAAATAAATAAAAATAATTTTATTTATGAATGAATTTATTGTGTTATTTGATTTAGTTTTTCAGCTGAAATAGCCTGAATCTGCCACCATCCAGATTTATATGTTTTTCTCCCCATCTTCATGGCCCAGTGTGGACAAGAACAAAGACCTCTGTCCCTTCAAAGCACTCGTCCTCATCCATAATTACAGTGGAGCTTCTCTTCTCTTGTTATTACACAGCTCAGGCAAAATGTGAGGCAGTTCCAGTTTTTAAAAAAAGGTAATAAAAGCACTTTATTTTTGACATTTTCACTGTGTTTCCCAGTTCCCAGAATCAGTGAACAGACCCACAGCCAGGTCCTACGTTGATAATTTGACATTTCTTAATAACTAGCAACCGATGAGTTAACGGAAGCTCTTACATATTTCATCTCAATCACCTCTGTTAATGTTCACTCAGGGTGAGTGGTAGAACAATCACACACAATTATAGTCTTATTTAAAAGATGAACGTGAAGCCTGGAAAATGACTACAGCATCTAAATGTTGTGTTGGACTCTTCCCCCAGTGTCTCCAATAACCCAGACCATTAGTTTGCATGTAATAAACAGATATGTATTAGAAAAGGTCTTCAATTACAGTTACCGCTGCTCTGCTCTAAACGATTTCATTTGTTCACTTGTGCTCATCTAATAGATTCATTCGTCTTTTTAGCGTTTACTATGGCAACAGAACAGGCAGTGAGGCTGCGTCCAGAGAGCGGCCCTGGTGTTTATTTTGTGCTGAGACGCTTCCTTTTTCTAGAGCAAAAGAAACTATTTAAAAAGTTAGTAATTGAAGTGAACATTTAATCTGTGGTATGGCTCCTTCTCCTCAAATTACCTGGAAACCGGAGGCTTCTGCAGAGTCTTGTATCTTTTCAAACACCAGCTACTGAATGCTAGTCATTTTCATTCTCACTTGTGTATCACAATATCACATTTCATGACCTGCCTGCAGTGGTTTCCATGAAGGGTTTTAAATTAATGCCACACACAAACACAACAAACCCACAGCAGCCTAACTTCCTGTTGATCCACAGCTCCTTAATAAGGTGGAGAGACACAGCACGTCACATGGAGTCGATGCATATTTTTTTTATTCTCTTCCATCAGGCAAAAAGGTATTGATTAAGCCTCACATCTGAGCTGTAATCGCCCACCCAGCTGTTGGTCATTCAGTGCCGTCGCTCTTTGTTCCGACCCATCATCTGAGTCAAGAGCAGTGTAACATTGATTATCTGCTGCTACTGGTTTACCCGCAGAGCCCAGAGGTGTGCAGCTCTCCTGGTGCTGATAGGACAGGGCGACGCTGTTACAGGCGTGACAGGCTGAGACTAATGAGACGGCACAGACAGAGATGGGCCTGAACATTGATTCAACACGTTGAATTAAGCACTAACTCACACTTAGGCCGCCGCCCCACTCATTTCTCTAGGTCAGAGGAGAATAACTGGATCTGATACGATCAGCGTCTGACAGAACAGCTGCATTTGGTCACAGTATGTCTCCTACTGTCCTCAACATAGATTTTTTTTTTGTCATTTAAGTGCAATACAGGTAAAGAACCTACAGATAAGGGGGTATTTTTTGTTAGAATTTTCACGGGTAAGTCAAACACATACGGCTCTGGGGGTCAACATAACATAAGATAACAACATGAAAGCAGAAACAGAGGTTCTTACCTGCGATGTGACCATGTTGAGATAAGGAGTCAGACATCCATCAGAGAGCATGAGGAGAGAG